TCTTTCCATAAGATGGTCTCTGCTGCCTATCTTGTAGAGATAAACACCACAAAGAATCAGTCAATCAATCAATCAATATACAGCTAGGCACAAGACTAACAGGGCTCCTGACACAGAGCAGATGAATATTTCTCTCTTAAATAGAGAGAAAGACATGTTATAAACCATCAACCCAGTCCCCATTTCTTTCAGGGTTACATGTCCCAGCTCCCGCTTATCAAACAACACAAGCACCCTTTTAGTCTTCCGCATTTATGTCTGAAAGGCATACGACTTAAGTCCCCCTTGCTATTTGTGCATTCAAGCATGGAACGTTCTAGTGCCCGCCCCCCACTCCTGCCACCCTGTTATACCTTTAGACTTTCAGTGTGGCCTCCATGTGGGTAACACCCAACAGTTCAGATGGAGTGCCAAGTGCTGCCCCCGAGTCAGAGTCCACAACGGGGGTTCCTGGGGGACACTATGGCTTCTCTCCTGACACTGGTCTGTCGCACTTTCCTCTTGGCTTGGTCCATGTGGATGGGTCAGACCAGCTTCTCTCCCTGAACTGTGTCTTTCGGACTGTCCACTGCAGGGCTGTCCTCTAGGGAGAGGCCTTCACGTCTCAGGCTAAGGCCGTCCTGCAGTCAGCTCTGGGACTGAGCGACTCTGAGCAGGAACATCTCCCTTCAGGATGGCACACTGCAATGAGCTCTACTTTCCCTCTCCCTTTCCTGTGGGATATAAACAACACCCTCCCCTTTGGTGTTTAGTGTCCTGCTACCCCCCTTGCTCTTGTTTTTCTCCCTCCACCCCTGTGTGGGCCTTAAAGGCATATGCGGGGTGGAGTAAGATGCCTTTCAACACAGGTGCCACCTGCATCTGTTTCTGATGACATATGAATCATTGGGTTTGGTCTGGCTCATGCCAGAAATACGATGGGGTACCTAAAAACCTAGAATTTGTTTTGCAAAGCTATATATTTAATTTTTTAAAACAGAACAACCTTATTATTTTTAAAGTACTCTCCATTACACTTCATACATTTGTCAAATCTGCTGTTCCGTCCTTGGAAACATTTTTCAAACTCATCTGTTTGGATGGCTGCCAGTGCCTCTTTCGTGGTTTTTGTTTTGTTTTTTTAATCTCTCTCTGTCATCAGATCCCTTCATTTTCATGTCCCTGTTCATTCTCAGAAACAAAAAGAAGTCACACTAAGCAAAATATGTCGAGTAAGGTGCATGGAGCAAGAGAAGCATGCTGTCTTTCTGCCAAAACGTGGCGCACTGAGATGGCTGTGTGTGAGCAGATACATTGTCATGGTGGCAAAACCAATTCCCTGCATGCCACAAATCAGGCCTGTTGTTTGCACACTTATGCTATTTTTTCAGAACCTTTACATAGAAAGCTTGATTAACAGTATGACCTGGTGGTACAACGTCCAAATGCACTTTGAGTGGACATTTTTGTCCTTTCAAGAAGTTGATGGAAATACAGGATGAGCTTTGTCATCAATCGACATTTCACTTTTGAAATGAGAAGCCACTCCATACACTTGACTTTTTCCTATAGCACTGTCCTTCTGAGCTGTGTTCCACAGAAAAACCATTTCTGTGGCACTTGTCCTGAGCAGGAAACAAAATTTCACAGCCACACGCTGTTCTCTTAAATCGCCCATCACACACACAAAAAAATTACGTTTGAGTGAAGCTGCTTTTACAAAAAAATTCTCTGTGACCAGAGAACATTCCCAGGTGATGCCACTGCGTGCACTAGCTCAGAGTGAGTTGCTTGATGCTCACCTCGTGGGGAAAAGGCACAGTACATAAGCTCTGCCCAACAGAGCATTTTTCTGTTCCTTTTTTTATAGGTAGACAAGGGGGCCACAATGCAAGTTTAAAGGTATAACAGGGCAGCAGGAGTGGGGAGGGCATGGGAGAGGGGGGCACTAGACTGTTGCATGCCTGAAAGCACAAATATCAGGGGGACTTTTAGGACGTATGTCTTTCAGACATGAATGCTGAAGACTAAAAGGGTGTATCTGGTGTTACGTGAGTGTGCCCCTTGAATGTACCCTTGAGAGAAATAGGGACTGGGCTGATGGTTCATAACACGTCCTTCTCGCTACTTAACAGAAGGTTATTCATCTGTACTGTGTCAGGATCCTTGTTAGTCTTGTGACTATCTATACGTTGATTGATTGATTCTTTGTGGTGCTTATCTATACAACATAGGCAGGATAGGCCATCTAATGGACACCGTGACTGTTCCCACGGTTCTTGTGGGCCAAGGGAGGGGAGAGAGTGGGAGGGGAGAGGGGAACCAACAAGGACAGATACAGAGAAACAATCAGTGTTGCAAATTTGATGACGAAAAGGGGTAGCTTTTCTGGTCATGTTGGATCAATCGAATTATATCTGAGATCAATTACTTGAGAGGTGAACAACGGGAAAGCATAATAGTGGGGTAGGAGGAAAGTAAAAAGAAAAGACAAAAAATATTTCTACATCTGGATTAGTTTATGTATAACATATGTATGCAAATGAAACAAGGAAGCATGGACTTGGTACTCCATTTAAATCTTACCTCAATTCAAGAATGGTTTGTTCAAATAATGTGGCATTCGATGATACTCACCTTCCTGTCATGATCGGGAAGACAAAATAGTGGCGTGGATGTTGAGGAGACCCAAAACCCACCTGTCAGATCATTGGACAGTCCCTTTCAGAAGGCACACACCGAAAGGATGAAAAATCCAGGGTGCAGTATAGCACTGATGAAGCACACAACTATCCTCCAGTTCTTTACATTTCTTCCCCTTGCTATCATGGTTTTTATTTGCTTCACCTCATTAAGCATGGTAGATTTGTGTATGCTCATTTGTATATTTAAGATATTTTGGTACATGAAAGCCAAGAGAGATAACCCTTCAGAAACAAAGAAGTGATGGTTCTGTGTGAGTCTGGGTTGACTAGAGAAACAAATTCAGAGACACTTGTATGTGTATAAGAAAGAGCTTTCTATAAAAGAGCAATTGAATATTGAGAGAAACACCTCAGCCCTGTCCAGACCATCAAGTCCATAAGTCTGAGATTAGCCCATATGTCCAATACCAATCTATAAATCATCCTTCAGACTCAGGAAACATATGCAATGATGCTGAATGCAGGAAGATCACGGGCCAGTGGGTGGAAAGTCTTGTGGATCCAGTCGAGGTAAGCATCTCAGAGCTGGCCGAGGTCTCCACATGACTCCTCTGGCTCAGAGCTCTGGCTGCATCAGGATCATCATCAGTAATGTCTTCCAGTCAATGAGAGTGTGTCCCCTCCGGGACACACTACATTTGTAGCTCCTTAAAGGCTACAAATGAGATCATGCAGCTGCCTCCTGATTGACAGACTAAACTTTAGTCTTAAATCTCAAATTGACAACAGATTATGTAACTCCCACAGGCCCCCCGTGGGTCTGGGAAGAGGAGGGGTGTCGGTATCAGGAGTTGAAAGCATTAATGAGTGTATAATCACACTTGATGTGATCAAACAACACAATTGTATATGGATGGATATATTGGATCGTGTAATTTATGGCAAAATACAAAACTATTATAAGGAACAAAACAGGGGTCCCAGTGGGGGGGTAGGTTGATGGAAAGAGGGGATAAAAAGGAGCTGATATCAAGGAGTTCAAGAAGAAAGAAAATGTTTTGAAACTGATTGTGGGAGCAACAGTACACTACTTCTTGATGTGATTGAACTATGGAATGTTCTGAAAAAGCTATCAAAGTGATGAATTAAGATAGGAACTGAAAATCCAGGGAATCCAGGGAAGATGAGCCCTACAGGACCAGTGGTGTGAGTGGCGAAACAGGGAGGGTAGAGGGAGAGTGGGTAGGAAAGAGGGAACCGGTTACAAGGAACTATATGTGACCTCCTCCCTGGGGAATGGACAACAGAAAAGTGGGTGAAGGGAGACGTCGGACAGGACAAGATATGACAAAATAACAATTTATAAACTATCAAGGGCTTACGAGGAAGGGGGGAGCGGGGAGGGAGGGAGAAAATGAGGACCTAATGCTGGGGATTTAAGTGGAGAGAAAATGTTTTGAGAATGATGAAGGCAATGAATGTACAAATGTGCTTTACACAATTGATGTGTGTATGGAATGTGATAAGAGTTGTATGAGCCCCTAATAAAGTGATTTAAAAAAATGTTGAAAAGAAAAAAAATGATTAATTAAAAATAAAAAAGAACAAAGAATATATTCTAACTTGAATAGGGTGATGATTGTAAAACCCTTTTCAATATGGTTAACCTGTCAAATTGAAGAGAATGTGAATTACATGTCAATAACATGTTCTAAAATAAATTAAAAATAAATTTCTGTCCTGAAACAAAATGTGCACATAATAGACAGCAATATTTAACCTTGTCTTAGAGAGTGAAGTACAGCTGATAGAGGAAAAAATATCTAACGATCTGTGAAGAAAAAACTAAAACAAGTGCTTTCTCATTGAAGGTCTGGTCTACATTTAAGATCATGTGAACATATTATAGTCATTAGGTAAAAAAAAAAAAAAAAACCCAAAGTTTTAGGAGGCAAAATTCACTTTAGAAGTTGTAATGGAAACTACAGCAACATGAAATTGGAAGTTTTTATAAAAACACCAAAATGGTGAAGTGATTGCAAAGGAAGACGAAAGAAGACAGAACTGTGATCTATGGATGAGAGCTTGGGAGACAAACAAGGTTCTTAAGAAATGGGGCAGGAGGGCATTTTCATCAGTATCACACACGATGAGGACAATCCATGAACAGGGCATGGTCAAATCCAAAGAAGGTGGTCCCAAAATTCTTCTGAGAATGAGTCCAGGGCCCCCACCGTTATCTCCTCCCTGCCCCCTTGCACCAGCATTGGTCACACCCAATAGTACACATTATACTCTGGTCCCTTTGCCAGAACAGTTGGGAGACTGCGGAATCTTGGGATGTCCTCCCAGAGTAGGCGTCATTTGTCTCCATCATCAGTCTGGAGTCTCATCTCTCTGCCTGCTGCCATCTTGTCTCCATCCCATGCAAACAGCTTGAGATCGGCACTCGCAGTAGCAAGCTTCTGCCAGAATCACCACCAGGATCAGCAAGATCACAGCGGACAGGCCCAGGCGCACACTATTCCCCTCTGTGAAATTCTGGGAGGCCGAGTCTTCAAACAAGAAAGTGGAGTCACTGAAAGGTGCACTTGACCATCCCAGCACAGGACTCTTGAACTAGGACCCCCTTACCCTTGTTCCTGGGCAGCCCGAGGCCACACTCAGAACTTCCCTGCGGGCACAGTTCCAGGGGATTGTCTGTCTTGGAGTCTGCTGCTGTGCCAGAAGGATTGGGGTCAACAGAGGCTTCTGGGAATGAGAAAGGGGAAAGGGCTGGTGCAGAGTTCGGCCAGTGTGGACTGTTCCTCATAAGGTGGACCTCAAATTCATGATTCCTCCACTTGACCTTTCTTTTATCTCAATATCATCTGGCTCTCTTCTCCCCCAAATCTTTGAGCTCCCTAAGCTTGTGTCTTGCACCTTACAGCCAGTTGACCATTAACGTCTCAATGACCAAGAGAAACTGGAAATGGAAGCCTGCCTGGACAAGCTATTCTCATTGACACGGAGCAAGGGCCACCATCACCTGCGTTTCAAATCCACCACCAGCCAATGGAGGGCACAAAGTGTTTTCTTATGTCAGTGCACAAGATGTAGACATCTCGGTGCTGGTGGACTCTTCCCTGTCCACTGAGGGAGAGCAGCATCCAGAGTCCACGTGCAAGGCAGGTGTTGTAGGACTTGACACCTGATTTGAGGCTGGCACCTGGTGTGCTCTAAGCCCTGAGCAGTCTGATAGGACCTTCCAATAAAGTAGCTTCTTCCGTGGCTCACTGCCCATCCCATCACCCTATTAGGATATTCAAGTGCAGGACCACATTGGAAAAAACACCTTCATCATCTCATTCTCCTACAGTACAGCTAAACTACAGAACACTTGACCCTCAACCGGACACCAAAGTGACTCCCTATTCAGGCAACAGTTGAATCCATGCAAGTTCAGCACCAGCCTCCCAGGGTCTCCTCCCACCGCCTCATCTCCTTGAGGAAATATCTTCCTTTTTAACTCTCCTTGGACTTGACTCTCCGCTTCTGTAGAGACGGTTCCGTGTAACTCTGCCCAGGGAGGACAGAGGGAGAGACATGACTGGTCTCCAACACAGCAGCACAGGTCCACTCTCGGGAGCCCACACGTTGAAATACCAACCACAAGGGACCTCACAGGTTTGCATCCACCATTTTTCCGATGTGGGGGGGAGGGGAGATGAGATTGTTTTGTGTCAAGATACAGAGTCACAGATATCTAAAGCAGCTGTTCCCATCTGTCCTGTTAGGTCACTGTGAGTCTACATCACCCGCATAGTAGAGTGTGAGCCCACACCACTGACCCACCCTGTCCTTTGTCCACCATGGAAGCGGAGACTGTCTCATCCCCAAAGTCCTTGGACGTCGCATCCTCCAGCAATTACTGTTCGCCTTTCCCTATGTTCTGCCAGGGAAGGGATCGCGTCCTCGACCCCTGGAACCAGGATTGACACGGAGGTGGAACTTGCTCTGAGTCACTCGGTCGCTCATCATCCCTGGGGTCAGAGTGGGTTGTCCGGACACTGACAGACGGACACATCAGGAGGGAGCATGTGCTGATGTCTCTGTCTCTTTCCCTTCAGCTCACCACGATCCCACCGGGTTCACCCGCACTCTATTCCACCCTCTCTCCTCCATCTCTATCGGAAGATTCAGGCTTGCTATGCCACCGGGGTGAGAGTTTTTGCTTTATTTGTTCCTTCTAATACTCAGCATCCTCCCCCAGGCACAAAGACCTGCCCAAGCACCAAGAGAGGGAAGAGTTACAGAGAGGAATTCCCCACCTAGTACCAGGGTCACCAGGGGCTCCCAAACATGTGATCACATGTACGGAGAGGTGCTGAGTGAACTACAACACCTGCAGGTGCCTGTGCTGTGTGAGCTGAGGTCACAGGGTTCCTGGTGAAGCGGGCCTGTTTCAGGTGGCTGTGGTGTTGAGAGGTCAGGGGCATGGGCACACTGGCTTCCTACCCCTGCCACAGTGAGGTGTGCACTGGGTTCGTGAAGCCCACTGCAAAGTCGGGGTCTCTCTTAAGGGTGCAGAGAGGCCTGAGAATCCCCCAGGGTGATTGTGTCCTTGAATTCTCCTAGACAGAAGAAAGGGAGAGGGGCCACCCTGTGTTCAACTGCATCCTGAACTAAGGATCTACCAGGTGTTTAGGCTGGGGGCCTCTCCAACTCTCAGTCTGTGGTGGTCCCTATTGTCTCCTTCCTATTCCAGTATCTTTCAGTGCTTCTCCTCTGTGCTGACTCCACATTCTAACTTGGAAACAATTACCCCCTGGACTCTAGGGCCTAGAGCCTCCAATAGAGACCTGCGCTGAGAAGACAACTTGGAGGAAGCCATTCAGGGCTCCTTACCTCAAACCAGGATGCCCACAGTCACTCTGTGTCGGACACTCTCCTGAGAGGCTGTATCAACCACTCCATCTGAACCGGACCCCTGGGTGGGATCCCTATTGGCCAGAGATAAGTAGACCTAAGAAGGCTCAGCCAAGGGGAGCCCGGCAAGGGGCTGGAGGACGAAAATGTGCTCATCCTTGCACAGAGCCACTGTGGCTGAACTAACATCAGAGCTACATCTGAGGGACAGTCAGTCTCTCTCCAGAGGACACGATGGGGTCCTGCTGGTCAACAGAGATGGTTTCTTTTTTTTTTTTTTAACCTTTTATTAGGGGCTCATACAACTGTTATCCCAATCCATACACACATCGATTGTGTAAAGCGCATTTGTACAT